ATTTAATCCAATGATTCAATGGATTTTCTATGGCCCGTTTTAGTGTTGATCGTATTTCAGGGCGCAAGCATATCTCATATTTTCATTGTTACTTCATTCGTGAAATGCCAACCGCAAAACGTTTTACATCTTCATCTGTATGTATATGAATATGAGTATGTAAGCATTGCTGCTACCAAATTTTTTGAATAAACGAAAAATAATAATAGCGATTCATGTATGCACCTCAATTCGGTTGAGTTTGCAAAGGGAGCGGCATTTAGATGTGCGAATGAAGGAAGTGAGAGCCGGCCACAAGTAAATATGTGTGACAATGCCGTTTTCATTTGGAAGAGAAAGAGAGATAGAGAGGGATAAAATATGTGAATGAAGATGACATTCATTTAATGAAACACAAATACAAAATCATAAAAAGTAAACAGTTGTAAGAGGCACATCATGAATCGCAATACAAACGAGTGTTGGATCGAAATCGAAATGTGCACATTCAGAACGAGTAAAAGATCCATGCATTCAGAGTCAGCACAAAATTCCAATCCCATATTGTTTTGTATATGTTCCGTTGCATACCTATAAATTAGGAAACATACATTTCAACCAACCGAAAACACACACACATACATTTCGGACTTTCTCGTTCATTTTCTCTCACATACTATCGCTCCACATCTCTTACGGTTCTTTCTTTCCATTTCTATTTGCCCATATATATCAAAAGCAATGTGAGAAATTTGTTGAGGTTTCTAACGTAAACGATGACGATATGGTAACAATAATGTTTTAGAGGAATCAATATAAAGTTCAACTAAATCGTTTGGCCGTCTTTGAGACGAACAACCGTGAATATTCGCCCACTGCATACAACTATGGGTAGATTGTATTTCGTGAAAGTTATCATTATACACATCATGTGTATTACACACATCTATATATGCTGCGAAGGAATTTCTGCGACAAAATCATTCGAAAAGATGGAATGAAAAGAAAGAGCAAACGAATGCCATTTCTTTTGAGAATGATGGAAAGGGATAGAATGAGAATGAAAACGCTTGTTCAGACATGGCAAAAAACAAGCACTTTGGTATTTATGGGTTTGATTCATGCTGGCAATTGCCATGGATTGATGTCATTGCTTTGCTATGCTTTACTTTTGTTGCCGTCCTATCTTTTGGTTCGACCCCAACAAACAATACAATGCAAACAGAATACAGTTCGACGATACATGCTCGCATATCAGTGACATGCGAACTTAAACACACATTGCAACACCATACGAGTCAACGATGAATATAGAAAAAGTAAAGTCTCTTTCTTAACTTGGTGATACATTTGCCATTTATTCCATTTTTTTCGTAAGTAAAATGTACTTTGGTAAAAACGATGCGTGTAATCCGGTGTAATTTTTTCAAACTCAAAACTTATTCAATATTCACTTAAACGATACTTCAAGTTCAAAGGGATTTTCGTTGCGCGTGTTCACTGTACTATAAAAAACTTCAATATATAAAACTTCAAATGAAGACCGTACACAATGCATTGTGTATTTGGTTAATGTTATGGATTTCAAGCGCTATAATTTCAAAGAGCAAAAGAAACGAAATCGCGAGCAAACCGTATAAATTAATTTTTATCGTAGCTCACAGTAATCGGTAAAATGCAAACGTGCCATTTCAAAATCACAAAAACAAAGTAATCGATACAATAAAAACTTTGCTTAATTAATACTCTCTTTCATTCACATGGTACTTCAACACCATCGTATTCGATATTTGCGTGGCATAACTCACACATCACAACGCCATTATATCCTCCATCGTAATATCGAATATATGGTATTTGCTGCTTGCGACAATGTTTAATGTGTGCACTGCACAGCATAGCACCCGACCCATTCAAAGATTGCGTGCTTGTCACATATCAAAGAAAATTTATGTATCTGCTCTGAACATATTTCCATAATTCTTGGAAACCTGTTCGCTATTCGGCAAAGTATGACACATTTATTGATAAATGTGCGCTCTCTTTTACTTTGAGATATTTTCCTCGGCACATATACACAGAGAAACAGAGAAAAAGAAAGAGAGAGAGAGAAGCACACAGGCCGAGTACATAAAATGTGTTTGCTGATAACTGCAATACATGCTCTTTTACTTACCTACTTACTTACTTACTTCATTTTTTTCCATATTTTCCTGTATTTCTCAAACTTTTCTCAATTTATTCTTTGTTTTGTCTATTTTCCCATCCGTGCTTGAGATAATGCCGTAGTAGCACAGATTTTTCGGACCTAATCCAAATCCAAAATATAAATATTTTATCCAAAAGAAATTAATCTAATTTCATGTGATTGTGCATCAAAATTTGAATGAATAGAATATGGAAAAAGATGGTGGTGGCAACAAAATTGAAGTGCACGATTTTAGTGTGGTGTGTAGTTTCAATATTTTATCCAAACATAAGCAGATTGTGTGTGGCAGTGCAAGAGGTGGTTGTATCGTTCGTTGTTCAGTTCATGTTTTATGTGCCAGTGTCTTCTCATTGGCAAATTGTCAAGAAGTTTCACGCTCATGCATACACACACACACATGCCCAATATAAATGCATATACGTGAACAAACATAGAAGCTTGGCACACACACACACACTATCTCCCTTATTCTTTATATTGAAAGCGATCACAATAAAACAACAGAAGCATTGCAATGCATTGCCATATAATAACAATAGAAGCAAAAAGCTCACTAACAATACACACATTACGTATACAAAGTGTGTCATTTTTCATAGAGAATGTGGAATGAGAGAACATTATCATCCGTAAACGTACGAAACGTGTGCAGTAAATTCGTGGTAAATGTTAAAGTTAAATGTTACCGTATGATACGTTGTCGTAATAAGAATGCGTTCATTATGGCTTGAATGTCTTTTCTTGTTGGTACGTTGAGAGTCGTTTTCATAGCAATTCAGTAATATATAGAGAGAGAGAGAGAAAAAGAAAAGTCACTGGCATACATTTGAAGACGAAGCTTATGCACGGACGATCAACACATATTATACCGTTTTATGTGCAAAACGATAAAAGCAGTGTCAATGTGCACGTGAATATGGACGTGAGTATGAACTGGAAACTCGGCCGCCTCTATTGTATAGAGTGAGTAAAAGTGCACAACATTTTAGTTGGAATTGCTTTGTCAGAATGTCGAGATTGGGACGTTTGCTTTTAGAACGATTCTGACATGATTGTGTGTGTGTATAATGATGTGATACTTGCTCATGTTGTTTCGTACAAACGATCAATAGTCTTTTAATCGTTTTTATTTTCAAGTTGATGTTTGTATGCACACCACACTCAAATAAGAGAATGCGATACTGGTGAAGTGACGGTGAGTGACTTTATGCCACGTAGTGATAATCGACTTCGTATTTAATATTTTTATTAGAGTCCTCTTTGTCTCTTTTGTTTTTATTTGTTGGCGATAAAATATCCATCAATTGTGTTATTTATTGCAGATTGCTTTGTAAATAAATCTTCACATATCCACCGCACCAATATCCATGCCATTCAAAAATTATTGGTTAGATTTTCATTATGTGTTCGATAAATTCACATATGTCGATTCTATTCGATAGTTTTTGTTTTCTATGGTGCTTGTTTTTATCGTAATTGTTGTCGTTTTCGATGTCGTTGTGTCAATACATTTGGTTGCATTTCATATATGCCAATCATCATTGCCATCCACATCGACATCCATCGATCGATATTGAAACATCTGCTGTTTGATCGCTCTCACTCAAATTATTCCACCTGTTAATATTAATTTCCCAAAAAGCCCTTGCATGACATATCATATCAAATGGCTGAAAAAAGCTCATATATACTGAATATTTGTGTAGATTTTCATTTTTCTGCCAATTTTGTTTGCCATTGCGACATATTTATGTGCTGATTGGTATTTGCTCATGACTTTTTGTTTTTACACGCCTGACACAAATATTCTCGCATTGGCTGCTAAAATTTATTTCTATTTATTGCTTGTTTTCTCTCTCACTCCCTCTCTCTCTCTCTCTCTCTTTCTGATAAAAATATTCACAATTCGATCAATACGCACGTTTACCAGCCATCAAAAACAACATACACACAAACAAGGAGGAAGAGAGTGTGAAGAGTAAAAATAATAATAACAACAACAACGAAAAATGATTGTTCGATGTTCAATTTAGTCGCACATAGGATATGTATCGACACACAAACAGCCCATTTATGCGGTGTATAATAGCTGAACTGGGGCCTAGCTTTATGTCGAAAACGAATTGTTGGGCTACGCATGTCATAAATAAAAACATCAATTTGTTACCTCTGTTGCGTTTTTCCGTTGTTATTGCTTTTGCCGTATTTTTTTGTGTGTGAGTGTGCGACGCGATATTTTTGCCTGTTCGATGTCGTCTCATTGCGATTTATGGATTGATGTTTCATGTACGGTCCACTCATTTTCACTGCATTTTCAAAATGGCTTGTTAGCATTCCGGTGCTGAAGTACGTTTATATAAAATTTCCTCCTTTTTTGTTTTATTTGTGATACTCATAAGCAATGGCCGTGCATTTTTTGTTAGCATCGTTACAAAACTTTTGCATACATTCACAAACACATGAATAATAATGAGGCTGACACATTATTGGTGTTTTTTTATGTAATTTTACCAGTGCATAAAATGCGTGTCTGTGTGCGCGTTCAACTCGTAGCAATTGGCTTTATTTGATGTGATTCCAAACTTTTATGACACATAAAAATAGGGTGAGATAGACAGAAGAAAACGGAAAAAAATATATATGTGATACTGAGTGCTTCAGAGTGCTTGATATTCATCGGGAAAAACTTTCTTTATAATGCAGTCAGAGTTTTCTTTGAGTTTGGCCTCTCCTTCAACAGTAACTAGTTTTTAAGCAGTATCAATACAAACCATTGGGATTTTTTTTATTCAAAGAATTTAATTTCATCGTCTTTATTGTTAGAATTTGTTTACAGTGAAACTTATTATAATTTCCGTCGACTTTTCATTTGCGAGACACAGTACAAAATTACACTTACCAAACTAATGCAATAACTTACTTAAATGCAATGTACAATCTAAAGATGCAATTGTGTAACGCAATAAATTCACTCCAAATACTTGAAACTACTACTATTCTATTGGATATCTAATAATTTTAATTAATAAATTAAACATTACGTACTAAATGGAAAATGTTTCTCTTATCTGTTGCTACATCGTCTCTAACAATCGGGAATATATGTGTTATTCTGCTTAAAGCTGCTGCTACTCGGTTAGTGGTTTCGATATAAAATATTTATGTGTGCGCGTGTGTATGTGATTGTGCACAAAACACACGGAAAACTCTTCATCGATTTCAATTTCGTTTGATTTTCAAATCGATAGCCGATTGAAGTTTTCAAATCATCTATTTGACTTTTCATGCGGGTAGATTGCTACTATTATAATCTCTTTTACTCTATACCTATGATATTCAATTCAATAAATGCAATAAATTAATAGACACTTATGTATATGATACTATTCTTGGGGTGAGCCAATGTTTGAATGCCGAATGGGGGCCCGTAATAAAGCCCAGGCTTGTTATTTTGGGATATGTGAAATTATTGTATTTTAACAGCTAATAAATCTCTTTCTCTCACTCTAGATCTCCTCTTCTCTCCTTATCTTTGTTTGTATATTAATTTCGATCTGCGAGAAAGAAAGAGATGGATAGAGAAAATGCTCGCCTGTAGCCGTTTCATCGATACAAATTCAAATAGTTTATAGTTTACAATTTTCAGTTGTATCGCCTGCGGTCCATTGTTGTTTAAATTGAAAAATAAACTTTCGCATGAATAAGCAAAATCCGGCGCAAAAGAAGATGGAAATATCGAAACGGGTGTGTATGCGGGACTGCGGGTACGTTCACAAGAATTTATACATTTATGATATAAAATCGATGATTGGTAGTTTTGATCGTCGTCTCTTGATATCACACCGTCATATCCAGACACCAATAAATTTCCATTCAAGTGTGAATTATAATGTGTGGGCTTTATTTTGATATTTTCATATTTTCCAAAGCGCTTCGTCACACTCATATACATGCCATACATTTCATATAATTTTCCAATGCATCACGTATTAATGAACCACATTTTCATAATAATTTTCCATTTTAAATGTAAAACCAGACGAAACGAGATGAGTAATTGGCGTTTTCGGTCGTCACGTATAACATTCGCCTTGCCACTTTAACGAAATCGATACATTTCGAAAATCGTAAATCTTTGAACCGTATTTCAGATAAATTTGAGAAAGCAACAACAAAAATGAATGAAAGAGGCAAACGCATTCGACTCGAATGCGCGCGATTGCTCATAAAAATACCAAATTGCGTAGCAGTGAAATGAAATATAATCATTATAATTTGCACTAATTACCACTTCACGTTCGTTTAACTGTTTCTCTCTTCTTTTCTTTTTTATTCTCTCGACTTGAATCTATTCTCGACGCGCTGTCTATGTACGGTGGCTGCGTGCAAATGTGGCACTCGTAATTATGAGAAATTTGAGGTGAATTGTGGATCTGTTGATATGCGTACATTAGAAGGTGTCGCTGTGGTAACGATAAACGACATTTTAATGAAGCCATGCTCATTCGTTCTCGTTCACTCCTACCCGATCTCTGTCTGATTGAAATCACAACTTGACATTGTATATGTGAGTGTGTATGTGTGTGTTTGCATCGCTAAGCCATCAAGCATCTCTGTATAGTGCAAACCATTCAAATGTCATGCCATACCCACAGTGAGATAGAGTGAAAGATTTTACAAGTGGAAGTAATCTAATATGATTATCATCAATTTCTTTGAATTGAAATTATAAATTTTCGCATGATAGATGCGAGTGTCATGAAGCGAGTAATTAAATGCGCATATAAGTAAAATATACACGAAATTCACTTGCATTTGAATGAATACTGCAAGAGAAACTCAACGAAACAGAAAACCAAAGAAATGTGGCAAATGTGGGATGCGTAGTTCAGACACAGTGAGAAGTTTTCAAGTGTCGGTCTGATGCTTTGATTTTGGTGGGATTTTAATCACATCTCATGCATCTCTTTCACTCTTTCTCGCTTTTTTACGATCGTAATATGCATTCCAAAGTGAGCCTTTAATTTATCATTTTCATTCGGTGATCGAAACATTTGAACACAAATATTTAATTTAATATGTGGTTAATTTACGTCTTAAATTTCATTGTTACGACATTTTAATGCGGAACAATTGCAAAATTCCGTTTATTGATTTTTAGAGCGACTGAATTCGAAAACAAATATCAAAGTTGTGCGAATCTAACTTCATGCTACATATCAATTGCGTACTATCAGCAAGAAAGCTGAAAATGTTTAGCTAAAGTGCCACAGCCGAAGAAATAAACCGGATAAAAGAACAAAAATGGAAAATCTCAACGGAAAAACGTGGGTAGAGAATGAGAAAATGAGGACAATGAAAAAAAAAAGTTTCTCGCGCGCTTAAAAGGTAATTGTTTTTGAATACTAATGAGTGTGATGTTGACAATGATCCTGGTCGCGCGCAAACATACAATTATAATTGAATTCATTTCAAAGGCATCAGCCACAACAGAGCATTTTTATTTTCATTTGAAAATAGCCAGAGCCACCGCAATGAGAAACACATCCAATGAATATTATCCAGTTGTGTACCGAAAATTATACCATTTTCTGCGCGCCATTCGGTTTAACGTCCTTTAGTGGTGAGCCGTGTACGCAGGTTTTTTTTTCGTGTATTCGTTCATCCATCCGTTCGTGTTCGGGTTTTAATGTTGTCGTTCTCTTCAATTAATAACTTTATTAAATTAGCATTATGCTTACATACATATAAGGATTCTTTATAGCCGTTTATTCCATTCTGATTGGCTATTATGTCCAACTTCCGACCCGATGAACATAAGCGCTTGCAAACGCATACACACATACTCAAAAATTATGTTATGAATAATCAACATGAGAAACGAACCAAAAAAATATATGTGAAATCACATAAATAATAATTATGACAAAATAATAACTTAATTTTTACGCGCTATGCATACGAATAAGTTCGTAGCACTTGACGTAAACATTTTTTATTGCGGCACATTTATTTTGCGCGAAAATGTTCAAATTATAGGCCATAACTGATTATATTTTTGGAATCAAGTTGTTTCTGTTCGAAATGACTCCCCCGAAAATAAATGGTAATGGATCAATTAGTATGAAAATAAAGTTCAACGGTGTATTTTTGTTTGTATGTGTGTGAGCAACAACCTTTGGCGTTTGAAATCGATTTGAAACACCTTCAAGAATAGAAATTAAAGGATTTCGTAACAAACAAACGAGCGAACAACATTTCTGTGCCGCATCATTTTCACAACACAGGCAAATTGTATAGAATCACAGTTGAATGGAATTCACAAATTTCGTTGAAATGGCAGCATTCAAGCAAACGAAGTGCTACAAATGACCAGAAGTCAATTAGCTGTGGATAAAAGTTTGATATTAATTTACGTGGATTTCTAAATTGCTTTTAACATTTATATACAAAATGGTTGAATGAAATCGCAATTCAACGTTGGCATTTCCTTTTATTGGACCCGAATACCAAAAACGAAGTGAATAGCGTCAAGCTGTGTGACGCAATTTAAAACAAGACAGATAGAGAAAGGGAACGAGTTTAAAATTAAGGATAACAGCAAAGACTGCTTTGTTGAACCTTGCCTACATGCACAAAAAAAAGTCTTTACATTAAGGCGAAAAGACAAAGGTAAACTGCAACCACTTGAAATTATCGTGAGTCAAGCAATTCGAAGCGAAGGTTTGTATAGAAAAAAGGGTAGTGTGTGCGAGCGCTTTTACTTCAATGGAATAGACACAGGCGCAATTCGACAGGTAGAATTGTGACAGTGGTAATGAAGATACCAAGTTAAATGCGCTCATTTTAATGAATCGGAACAGTTTTGAGCCGTACGGTTGTAATTTGGATAGCACTGCATAGAATTATGTTTGCGTCGACTTCATTCAATTGAATTATTAACGAATAAAGTACACGAGCGAGTGTGTTTGCAACGACAACGACATAACTATATCTTTACTTTATATTCAGTAGTCTTTTGCTACAAACGATTGAGCAAGTATGCGCTCAGGTTATCTGCATACAACTTTTGAAACAATGCACATGTACAATGGTTCTGTTGTCTGTTCAATTCAAAGGACTTGCAATTTACTCTTTCGTCGGTTCTTTTCATTGCTAAATAACTTAATGTCGTGCAATTTTTCCCGTTTTTCTTTTTTTTTACGCGACGTCGTTTACATCAAGATCGTTGAAAACATGAATGAATGTTAAGACAGAACGAGAAACACTACTGCATTTCCGACAACGACAACTACGACGACGATAATGATGGCAAGAAGGAGAGAATAGAAGGCACTAAGTACTGAAGTTGAGACAAAAAACGTACACCAACGTATGTGCTAAATCCGAAGTGTCTCATGGGATATGTCAATATGCACAGTGTGCAATACACACAGTCATAAGCATAAACAACTCAACGAGTTCAAAGGCAACGGAATTCATCTCAACTGAATATAATCAAATGAATGGCAGGGTGCACGAGACACATACTAGAAAATCTATGGAATATTGCGTATACTGCATATTTCGCACTAGATTTTTTTTATTTTTGTTTCTCACTCTTTTGCACGCGCACACACATGTTCCCACAGTAGTCTCGTAATCTACTACTATTCCTAGTAATTTAAAAGCGGATCGCATTAAGTGGGATGAATTATATGCTTGAGATAACTGTATGATACTATCGTTACTTTGAAGCAAACATACACAAATATATAGGCACCGAAACAAACAACAAACATCCACAACAAAACAAAACGGAAAACACTTTTGAAAACACACACATTCATTTCGAGGCTTGATTCTCTTATTTCAGTATATGATTTTCAGCGAGATTTTATGGACGCAACCGGCAGAGATGTGAGGTGTTGAGAAGTAGAATATGTTTTATAAATAAATGGAATAAATTCTCTGGTATCGCACATCCGTCGTCGTCGTCGTCTCCAGAATGAAATGTGAGCATGTGTGTGAGAAAGAGGGTGGGCGCGTCAGCAATCCTGGGTGTTTAGCAATTGTTTTTTGTTGTTGCTGTTTTTGTTTTTCGTTCATTTAGCCAGCAAATCCAATAAGTTTTGCGTGAAAATAAAATCGCTGCTTGCAAAAACTTTTCTTTTTACTGTTAAACATACTGTGTGTTATATTTATTTGCAACGCTATGAAAAACAATGTGGAACGGACTATGAGGTATAAATGAGAGATGGGAATGCGTCGCTATGAATGATGTCGAGCTGCGGCGGAAGAATAGAAATGTAATTTACCTGGAATGTTGTGCATTTAATGTGTATAACATCGTAAACGAAATGGCATATACAGACTGAAGTAAAACGATTTTCCGGCATATAAAAATAACAGCAACGCCAACAAATTGACGAAAATATAAAGAGAACACACATCTAAATATAAATTGATATCAAGGTGGATTTTCTATCATCTTTAACTACTTTTTCAAACTTGGAAATCTTTTATTTCGTAGCAATTTATTACTGTCAGTTGTTGTTGTTGCGGTTTTATATCGCCGAATCGACGATACACGTAACGCCTTACATTCACTGTGAAAAATGAGCATGAATTATCAATTTCGTTAAAACCAAGTGGAATCGCTTTGTATATGCTTTTTTTTACTCGTTTATCATTCATTCTTAGCTCTTGCCGACTTTCGATTTTGCTCACTTTTTTTTCTCTCTCATCTAAATAATTGAAACTAATTTCAAAGTGTAATCTTTTACTATACTGTCAAACCGATGCAGCAACGCATACCATTTAAATCTATGATAGCATGAATGTACGGGTGTAGCTTTGATTTTCTTCATTCGACGAATTGCCAGTTCAATCAGCAAAACCAAAAACTTTTCCCGACTTTATCCATAATTCAATTTGTATTCACACAGTGAAGTGAGTTTCCGAGCGAGTGCGTTTTTTTTTCGTCGCTTTTTCCTGTTTCGTTTTTTGGTTCAGAGCCCGAAATTTGAAAAATGAACTCAATGCGGCAATACGGTAATCATTTGAACGGCACGAAAGTGTGCCTGCATACCAAATTCCGTATATAAATTGTTGATAATGTTGACCTCCAATTTTAAGTTGGTTCCCTTTTTTGGAACTTCCGCTTCCTGTTTGTTTATATTTCGGTTGTTCGCTCACTCAATGGGCAATGAACAATCACAACCGAATACATATAAACTTGCAAAAATTCATTTTCAATGCAAAAATTACCAGGATACCTAATGGAACTTTTCAACTAATTTAACTTGTTTGGCCTTTTCCTATGTTTTCTTCTTGCTTTTACAGTAATTTTTACGCAGTTCTTACCAAAAAAATAACTTAAAACAATTACGACAAAACGAATGAAAGTTTATGGTTTCCAATCAAACTCTGTTCCAAACATTCTGCAACGAAGTTTTTTTTCTTTGAATATGCTGACTGAATTGTCGTTTTCGATTTGCAAATGGAGTTTTTTTTTATTTAAGCCTATTTTCTTCGGTTGTTCAAGAACTTTCTCGCCACTTCGGATTTGTTTTGTTCTTGAATGCAAAACAGTTTTTTTTTGTCTTGAATGAAATTTAATATTTCGATGCAATGAAGAATTTATATCTAAAATGTCAATGTGTGTAGGCCGACAGACGAGCCGGATTCGATCAATAAATAATTTGCGTTGAGAGAATAAGTGTATAGCGTAAACATTTCTAGTGCTCTTTTGAGTGTTTCGTTCTTTGGATCACATTGTTAACCAACTAAAACGTGTTTTTCTTTTCTTTAATTCTTTTGTGCAGCTAAATCATGTCTAAATTCTCATAAATCGTTTGGGTCAATGAGTATCTCTAAAAAAATATTTTTTTTTTTACTTTTTTTCCCCTTAGTAGTTAATCTTAAGAGCTAATATTCATACTGGTTCGGACAACAAATGAGGCGTCTTCAAAGCGGCGCCGATTGGACGTTGACTGTGATGTTGGTGGAAAGCCTCGTCCGCTTCCCTTTGCTTTGTCGTTTATGAATCCGTTTCGGATGCCTGAATTCGATTTGACCGGCATCAATGTGACTAAAGACGGTACAGTGCTGCTGGGATGAAGTGCTGCCGAAACTTTATCGATTAAAAGCATTTGTTCGTATTGTGTTGGATCGACTTCTTCAACTTCGGCTTGACCGATTAACGTTTCAGCACTAGAACCATAATAGCTTTCGGTATTTTGATTGAGTAAAATCGGCAGTTCATCTTCGGGCGTTGATGCGCTTGATGAGGCTGGTAGTATTGTTGTTTGTGGTACAGATCTCTTTGTTGTCGATGTTAAATAATCAGCGAGTGGATGATGTTCATTCTTAAGTTTGTTTGCCGAAAAATGTGCCATAAACGGTGGCATTCTCACCGTGTCCATTGAATTCATATTCAATTTTGATGCCAATGTATCGAATATGGCTGAAATATTTTTGATCGGTTCCGATGTATTTCGAACTAATTCAGTTGGTGGCAATCGTTCCGTTGCTTCGGTTGGATTTTCAATGATCCACGCTTGTAATGTTTCATTAAAAATCTTTCTCATTGGTGCGACACTTGGATACACTAATGTTCCATTTACGTATTCCCATTTTGATTGAACGGGAAATAAGCCGGGTGTCCATGTTGCCGAAGCGCCAGGTGTGTATTGAACGGTTTCAACTTCAACGTACGATGCTGTTGCGGCCTCTGGGTCTACATCCTGATTATGGACTGAGGTCGATGCCGTTGTGCCACCACTTGTGGACTGTGTCATTGGTTTTATCAAATTGGCCGGTGTCGTTGGTGCAATTAACGAAATACGATCGGACTTCACCATTGGATCAATGGTATTTTGTGGTTTCTCACGTCTTGGCGTAGTTTGATCGCGTTCCGTTGATGTTGCGAGTATGTCTTTTGTGATGGATTTCGTGGTCGCCATTATGTAGTCTTTGATATTCTTAAATGATAATGTTTCCATTGAAGATAAAACGGTTGCAATTTCATCAAATGCTTCAGTGTGATCGACTTCATCGTCGCTCAAATTGACCTTTTCCGTTTGATTTTCCACTTCAGATTTTTTCGATTCGTGTAATTCCAGTTCATCGGTTCGTGATTGCATGATCAGATCGTCAGAGTTAGTTTCATTCAATTTAACATTGCTGTCTTTCAATAGATCCAAAAGAATTTCGCCAACTTGTTGATTGGTGATTTCATCATCAATTCCCAATTCGGTCTTATTTTTGGCTCGGTCAGTGGTTTCCTCCATATTCAATGTGATTGTTTCATTTGTTTTGCTTTCGTTGGCCTTTTCATAAACCGGTGTCGTTGTCATTTTTACCGTTGTTGTTTCAACATTTAATATCGGTGTCTCTTTAATCGATGGAAGTACTTCACCTCTGTTCAAAATTAGATCATCTTTTTTGTTGGATTGTTCACCAATTAAATCCACTGGCAACGGGTATTTGAAACCAACGCCCAAGCCCAACTTCTCCACTTCGTGCAGTCCATACATCAATGCTGGATTATTGAAGCTGTGATAAACGGGCGGACGGCTTGTTTTTTGCACTGAACTTGGAATTGGATTTCGCATTTTATTCCGAGGTAGTAATTGCATGCCAATCGAATCAGCATTGTAGTTCGATGGAACAACTGGTGGATTGAGTGAGTTGTGAATTTTCTTTTTGGCATCATTTAAATTGTGATCGATTTTTGCATTCGGTGCAATCGGCAGCCAGGGCTGATCGTCAAGAACGGGTGCACTTGGGAATAAATTGGTGAAATTTTTCTTTGTATTTTGTGATGACAAAATTTCACCTTCGAGTGTTGACAAATCTTCAACCGATTTCTGTGGTGGCGATGGTGGTGGTTCACTTGGCAGAACAACCGATGGAGTGTTCACTTCAGTGGTGGTTGTAGTGCTGCTAACTTCTTTTTGTGGAAGTGGTGTAGTTGGTGCCTTTGTTGTTGTAGTAGTTGTTGTCGTTGTTGATGCTTCGGTGCTCGGACGAACTTCAATTTCAATAGCTGATGTTGGAATTTCTTCGGTTGTAATTGTTGGCCGTGGTGTTGTTACTTTCTCAAAATGGAATGCTTTTGTAACATTTTCAATTTTCATGATGTTTGCCGTTAAATTTTCGGGTACTTTTGGTAATGGTTTCACTTTTTCGACGGTCGTTTTTTTCGGTTTCATTCGAACCGATCCGTTTGTAATGGTAAACGGCTTAAGAGTTGATGTTCGTATTTTTTTCTCTGTAATATCGGCATCCGTTTTTGTCACTTCAAACGAACCTTGCAGAATTGGAGTGTTTTCAATGTCGATTTCGGCTTCAACAATATCCAATTTCGATTTTGGTTTCGATGTTGTTATTTTTGATGGTTTACTGATTAGTGTTGACGATGGAGCTTTGCGAGATTTGTCATCGAACATAATGGAAGAAGGTGTTGTTACCTGAAATAAAGCCTTTAATAAGTAAAAAAAAACACGAACGAGAAAAGATAACAAATAAAAAGTCACATACCCTTTCGCGTACAAATGAAGCCGAATTTAACACTTCAGTATCCAAAGATCGCTTAATTTCCAAAGTAGGTAAATCAATTTGGATGCCCTTTGTTGATTTGCTTGACATAATTTCCTTGAGTAATGAGTCACGGATGTGCTCTTCAACGCTGCGAATCGTTCTGTATCAACAAGAAATCAATAAAAACCATTTAGCATGTCTTCAATTAATGTTTTAGAAAGTGTTTCTATAGATGGATCAAATCAAAATGAGATATGTACGTCAATCACTTTTCTATTCTTAGAAATAAATCTCTGACGATGTCAATTAAGTCAATGTCATTTTAATGAACCAAAAATATATACGATATCATTATAGTAAGTGCAAAGTGTCAATATCAATGAAAGGTTGTTTCTCAGAAATGAGCGCATTTGATTCCGTTTCGTTAGCAAGTTCTTAAATTAGAATTTTCCAGAATAGCATGTCGTGGGATTTAATGTTCGTAAAAGTTATAAATGGAAAATCGTTTCCAATTTCGTGTGGATTTCTCGAAATTGCTTTCTATATGTCTATTGTTTAAATATATAGTCATTATTTACCTTGGCACTTTTCTCATGTCAAGAAAAACACGAAAATCAACTTGTACAAGTGGTCCGGTACCAAATCCATGAATGTCACATTTGTATACCGTGAGTCCATTTCGTTCCAAGCTTTCGGTGATTAGATTGCGATAGTGATCCACTTTTTTTTGATAGGCATTTGTATGATTGTATTTTAATCCAGTTGTGAACACATCGCCACGAGTTACTTGGAATTTTCCATCAAAAATCATAATAGCTACATGGTGGATAAATGAAATTATTGTCATCATAAAATCTGGTTCGCATAAAAAAATAAATCAATGATCATATGTTACTAGTAGTAACCTACTACTTACAATCATCCGACTTGAATGTGCTGAAATAGAATGCGAGCGCAGCAACCGAAAGAACGGCTAGAATTACAATAAATGCGGCTGTCATAAGAATTATGGTAAATGATTTAATGCTGCTTCGGCTTTTCGATGAATATGTCGATGATGGTGTTAAATTGCGTGAATCACGCCACAATCCTTGGCCCCACGAATTGTAGCCGTATTGATTTGTGTAGCTAAAATCATTGTTACATCCATTTGCTGTGTACGGATTGCCTGATAAATGTGAATACGGTCCAATTGTCGAATGTCGTCCGATCGTATTCTGATACGATGTGCACGCTGCTTGCTGTAAAAGAGAAAGAGAGAAAACACACCGAAAAATTTCGACTCATTAGAATTCGTCAGAATTGCAAATTTGATTTGTACAAACTAAAAATGAATAGTGTCAGTAATTTCATATAAAATTTATTATGTTAAAATGTGTCTGGCATAGAGTAAAAACGTTTCATCACAGTACAAAAATGTTTGAGTTGATTTCATCAAAAATGGTAGACGATAAAATCAGCTTTACAAATTTTACTATACGAATGATGGGTATAGTGAATATTTAGCAATGCTCGTTCTATCGCTCTGTATTTGTTTGTCTGTCACAAATTTTGCCTTGAAACACTTCCAGTTAAAATAGTTGAAACATATAAAGCATATATACAAATATGCTAAATGATTGAAAAGTGTGTTGCATTTATACCCTGTGTGTTGAGCGGAAGCATTTGCATTCGCTATGTTTCGAAATGTGTATTGTTCGATGAAAATTGAAGATAAATAGAAGCCAAATGAACTTGTTTTGTATCACAAGATGATACCGTCGTTTGAAATGAAAGCAATGCAATCGGCTTATTTCTGAGGCCTGTTTTCGCTATCATTCTGTCTTTCTCTTTCCACTTCTGTCTTTCAGTCTTTTGGCTTGTGATGCTTATGCCGAATTTTCTATGTCGGAAACTTTGCAACACTTGAGCTTAAATTGAAGTCGACAACCAAACATTTAAGGCAAATATTTACAATAGACAATCACAGCATTGCATTTGACTTGAGCCATCTCAACTAATTGTTTATTAATCGATGGCTCTAATTTCTCTCTCTCACTTTTCTTTCACTTCCTTCTTGAAATGAAAGAGAGTCGCAATGAAAATGAGATAGAGAAATAATTTCTGTTTCGTTCGCAGCAGTAAAAGTAAATGAAACTTAAGTGAGGTTAAAGTGAGAGAATGGGTAATGCCGCAATGTATGAGAGTAGCATGTAAAGGAATCCTGGCTTTTTGAGGGTACACACACAGCACATGCACATTTATAATATTCAATTGTAAACAAACATAACGGCAACAACAAGCTAACTTTTTGGTACTTTTCCGACAAAATGAAATTAGTTTAAAGCCGAAATGTAGTCGATGCACTGCAGCGATGAGTAAAAGTTCCGTGATTCCGGCATCACCCGCTTATGTTAGCTCATTCACTTTCTTTCTCTCTCTCACTCATTCACTCCTCTGTTCATTTTTTTTTTTCACTCGTTACGCCAACTTTTTGCTTTACACAGGCACTTCTGTTCTATTGCTGCAGATGCAAGCGATTTCGAATTTATTTGCTCTGATTTTATGAGAATGTTTCACGTGCTGGGCTGTATGTTTCTCAGTTTGTAACTGAATGCTTTTTGCACTTTTCCTGTTTTTGAGCCGTTCACATTTGCATGAAACATCGAAAGCATTCTCAAGTAAGTATGCTTATACGACGTAACAGTAGCCGAAATGCCAATGCTCACACGACAACGATATACTTTTCCAAACAATGTTTGTTTTATACTTATATTATTCGTCATCGTCGTCATTGTCGACTTCGTTCATTTTACCAGCAACATTCGTTCATTTAAACCTTCGTTCATTCGCCGGCGATGATGAGTTTTTCGAGAATGATCCGCTATACATATTACATTGAATTTGGTAATGGCATAGAGGAATTGCATTCTCACGAAACATAAAAACCCATTATCATTAACACTCTTTCCAACACAAATAAAAAAGACAGAATGCAACCAGGTAAAGTGATAAAAATGGAAAAACTAAGAATGAAATTGTTTTCACATGCGAAAAATATTATAATAATATCGAGAAAGTTCTACCGTTTTCATTTAATTTACATTGAATAATTCAAAATAGTTTTATAGTTTCATTTTTCATCTCATTTTCATCACACTAATGATCCTCTTCGAAAATTTCGTAGCACCGTTTGAGATTTTGTAATAGCAACAGATCCTCCCATATCGTTTCGGTTATGGTGCTTAAATTGACATTAAATCGACCACTATCAATGTATTTTACTAAGGGCAAATAATCGAAACAACATGCCAGAAAATTGAGGTTCAAGTGTTTGCGAAAGGGCACCATTTGAGCAACGGACAGTCAAGTGGAGAGTCAAAAAGGTGAGACATACAACAAACAGTATAATGTATCATGAATGAGACGTATTCAATCTAATCTTAATTTATTTGAAATAAAAGTTTCACCTTCTGGGAATTAAATGACAAGGCAAGAGTGTAAAAACAAAAGACACAACCGAAAACGATACAAAAGGATAGAACATACAAAAACATACTGTGAAAATGAATTAAAAACAACGATGACAACTTTTTCTTTCGCTTTTCTGCTCTGCTCTGAACATATATGTACCGAAAATTGATTTCTTTCTTGACTGACATTCGTTCGCACAGAATATATGTCCAATACTTAGTTACACTGTACATTTACTTCATTCACTTTTCCTTTCTTCGAACAATGCCATTCGTTATGCTTTGGCGGGGCAAAAAATACATAATTTATGTTTTAATGCGTAAATGCTTTTTGTTTCTGTCCACTCGAACCGCACAAGGCGACCAAGAGACAAAAAAAGGAAACAAGAGGAGAAAAAGTTCAGACAATGTTCTTTTTTGTGTGAAGCATGTTTGTTTTTGTTATGGTGTGACGGAGGCTCGATGTGTGTGTGTGTTTGTTTGTGTTGTTGTTATACGGAAGAGAGAATTAAATCGAGTCACAAGGCGAGGACTATCAATTTCCTTTGAATTTTCTCACTATGCATCTCTTGTTCTTGTTCGTTTTTCTGTATTGTTTTTGTTCATCCCATGTTCGATTTGTATTCGATTTCGTAACAGGATTCATTGGTGATATTTTCATTTAGCATTGAATCTCTCTTGGGCATTCAATCAGATTGAAAACAGAAGTAAAAAAAACGAACTTTTACAAACGCATGAAGTGACAGCGGATTTCGTGATAGATTGATAAATCTGATGTTGGGGACCTTTGGGGTGATTGCCGTGAGACATGTGATAAGAAAACTTTTGCGGTCGTAAGTTAAAGCTTTGATTGACAACGAATTAATTGATTCGTTAGCACATGATTACAGTGTATGGGGCGTTACATAGTTTTGTATGTGAGTATTTATTGAATGCGGTTTCAACCGCATACTTTGCAGAACTAGTGAATGTGTGGTGATTGACTCTTGATTATGGTAATTGTGTTATTCGGTTTTATCATACAAATATATATTGAATGCACCAAAATGCCATAAACATCGATTGTCGAACATAATTAGTTTATCATAAATTGTCTTTCTCTCTCTCTCTCTCTCTCTCTCTCTCTCTTTCTCTCTCTCTGTACATATCTTCAGAATACAATTCTCTAAAGCGACCACAATGGCGCATTGCCAGAGAATACAAAACCCTTAATCATAGGAATATTAAATTGTTTACATGTCTCTCTGCGTATGTATTTATTTTGAATATTTATTCAGTTGAAAAGTTTATAATAAAATTGGTGTTGATAAATGAAGTGAACTGGGCTTTGGTGGAAAAATCATTTTGAAATGTTGGTGTCAATGAAAGCATTTTGTAAACAAAACTAAACATATTAGAATGAACCCACATCAAAGTACCTAAATGTGCGACGTTGATTTATTCAAAAATAATTCAAACAACGTCAATTCAAATTCACTTGAACATTTTGTGCCACATAAGTAATTACTCATTTAGTGCGAGAACATAAACATAATAATCACCAAAAATGGTTTTTACCGTTTGACCAACAAATAAACTGTATGACATATAGCCGCCCAAACTCGACGAGGTCGCTCATCAAATTCATCCATTTTCCGCAATTCATTGACTTAAAATGCGCTCAAAATTAGCACAACATTTAGTATCACAATATGGTTTTGCTTGTTAAATATAAATGGCACAAGAACATTCTCATGAATATTACAAATCATTGTATCGCATAATTTGTACCACTGTTCTTTCTTTCCCACTCGCGCTATCTCACATCTCTCCCCCCCTCTGGCTTCCTCCATCCCATTTATTCATACATGTTTGTGCCGCAAATAGAAGTGCAGAAATACAAAAAATGGATTTATTCTCAACGACTGGCATAAATCTTCTTATGGTAACATATTGCACGATGGAAACACTACATTTGCTGACTGCTATTATTTAGTCTCATATCTCTCTGTCTCTGTTACATCTCTATCATATGATTAAAAGTGTATACTATTTGCAAGTTTTTCCACGTGCTTATGCTCTGATGATCGGGCCATTGAGTTTATTCCCGGTAATTATACCGATTATTAACAAGAAATGAAGCTCTTCAAAAACATGCTCATTTTTGGCTAATAAGCAACAAATATATTGTTGTTATTTAAACATGATTTATTCGGAATTAAATCCATCGATTTGTGCCGACGACGACTATACAATTTAAATTGCATCCATATGATTACCTATATTTGCGGCAAATTGTGCAATAAAGTCAATGGAATAACTTATAAATTGTATGAATAAGCGTGGGCTGATTTTCTCGAACTCGCACATCACCAAAACAATAATAACAGGACTTCGTTTGGAGTGAACATTTTCGTTTCGATCATATTGAAAATGCACAGACATCATGATTACATTTCACTCCGAATGATGATGAATGTTGACCTGTATGTCAGACAGTCAAACCTGTTCAACAAAATCGGCATACGGTTCACGAACTCTTTCATTAAATCGATGTATACAGTCATTGTACGCGCCATTTGCACATCATTAATTCTGAACAGGCCATAAATTGGTTTATGACGCGAACATCCGCCCAACAAACCGAACTTGAGCCAAATAATTAAATTAATGAAGAATACATACCATATAATTGAATATCTTCGATACAAAATTGTTCAATTTCAAATTTATAATAATATCAATCACATTCAATGGACATTTACCACTCGTGGAGAACACAGTTCGAGTTGAAATGGTTCGGCAGTGAG